ACATGAGCCCTACTGACCCTGACCCTAAATCTCGATCCTAAACCTAACCCTGACCACATCTAGCTCTACAGGTCAGATTTGAAAAACCTAACCTCTCAATCACTAATGATCCAGAACCACATGAGCCCTACAAACCCAAACCCTGACCCAATGATCCATAATGACACGAGCCCTACTAACCCTGACCCAATGATCCACAACGACGTGAACCCTACTAACCCTGACCCTAAACCATGACCCAATGATCCATAACAACATGAGCCCTACTAACCCTGACCACATCCAGCTTTACAGATCAACACTTCAAGCCTTCGCTTCCATCTCGTGTTGCTGCTTTTTACACACCGACTCTAAAATGAACTTGAATAAAATGTTCCTTTCTGCTTTGTGGGAGAAAAGTAACTGTTCACATGAATGGATTGATCGGCGGCCTTCACAGGAACTGTCTGCAGCTTCCTGCTGCTTTGTATTCAGTGAAGCTGATGCCTGGCTTGATCATATATGTCAACACTTACATATAATATAACCGTCAATGATTTGACTGGCAGGAACTTTTTAAAATCATTATTTGACTAAATATTATTCTGATTGACTCAAAACATGAAAAGCAGCTGGAAACAGTCACCGTTTCCTCTACATTCATGTAGGAGTGGCAGTTAAGGTTAATACAACGTTAATTACTCGTGAGAGCGCAGCCTTGAAAGTGAGGTCAGGTCCAGCACCAGGCTCCAGGTCAGTCAGAGGAGGGTCGTCCTGGAGAACAGGGCAGCAACTCACCAGAGGAAAGGTAGACTTATTAGCTTAAGGTAACTCAGAATAGATTTTACAAGTTAAATAGACATTAGCTAAACACTGACGGCCAGCTAACGTTATGTAACATATCGGTAACCTAAGTTAATTGGGCCCGGGGCCAACTCAGTGTCGCTAACGTGAGTAAACTAACCGATAGCATTAAGCTAACATCTACACGCCATGATGGACCTGCTGATGAATCTTCAGATGAGCTTGTTCACATATTTCTCAAAGAAAAGAAAGACACCTGATGGAGATGACGCTAGCCAGGTAGCATTAGCCTTTTACTGACTCATAAATGATGATGTTCAGGTAAAAAATACTGTTCACACTGTGATCAGATGTGATGTGAGTGTAAATGATCTGCAGGTTTGGGATAAATGAGCAGTAACATCAGACAGGGAGGAGCAGAGGAACCAAGTGGAGGAGCAGGAGAAGGAGATGAGAGCAGAGGAGGAGAACCTAAAGGGAAGCTCAGGCTTCAGGATGGGACCCTACATGAGAGAAAGAAACAGCTGGTTCCCCTCAAAGCTCCACCACACTGATGATGGGGAGAGTCCATGAACCGGTTTTCCTTTATTTATTTGCATCATATACATGTTCATATTTCTGTTAAATTCATAAAAAATGAAATGAATTCAGTGTATTTCCACTGTAAGAGCCATGATCAGCGACGCCACTTCACTGTCCTGACAGGAATGTTCTGATCCAGGCTGCAGGGGATCAGCTGGCAGCCAACAGAACCTCAGAGCTCTTCTACACTAAGCCCAGAAGAAGTCATGGTTCTGAGCCTGGGTCCAACTTCACCATTGATTCCACAGCCCCATCAAGAAACTATTGTCTATAGTTTTTAGTGTATTTTATTAAATGTCATTGTTTATTTATTTTGACATTTAACTGGCCATTCAGCAACCAGGATGTAACCACATGTACTGATGAGGCTTCTGGAATGACCTGCTGTAATCTGATTACCTTTTTGACACGTCCATCAGGACCCCGGAGAACACCTTCTCCCCCAGTCGGAACGACACCACCAGCGCGTCATCGATGACGTGGTCCAGGGAGACCCGGACCTCGGAACCGGGACTCAGGTCCTGGATGGAGCCGAGCGGCGGCGTGAGTCCGTGTTCGGATGGGTCTTCCTGCTTCACGGCCTCCGTCACCAGCCACCTCTTCGGGGACCGGCAAGGCGGAGACGAGTCCCGCGGGCCGCGGGCCGCCGGCTCCTCCGTCCCCGCTGAGTTTTTACCGTAGCCGGTGTCCCGTTCCGCGGTACCGTCCTCCGCGGGCCCAGGACGCAGCTCCGCCTGGATCAAAGCCGTGTAGCACCGCTCTCGGCCCGCGGTCTCGGCCCGGTCCGTTGTCACGTTGGTGGTCGGTTCGGCCGGTTCTGCCAGGGACAGCCCGGCCTCGCTGACGGGCGGCGGAGCCGGGAAGGAGTGTAGGAAGACGGCGGAGGGCTGCGGGTCCGGCAGGATGCTGCGGTATGCTTCCTGCACCGACACGTTCCCGCCGGCCTCTGGGTCCGCCGGCAGTCCGGGAGAGAACCGGTCCACGATGACCCGTTCCACCGGGACGCTACTGATCGGTTCGTCGGTAGCGCCGCTCTCAGGCAGAGCTTTTCCCGCCGCGGGCTCCAGCTCGGGCCTGACATGGCGGCCGTCCCCGTCCACACCATCCTCCGTTCGGTGAACGGCCAGCTCCGATGCGGGGCCGGACTCCTGCGGTCCGTCGGGCTCCGGCGGGGCTCCTGGGAGTTGCGGACCGCCTGGGCCCGGTTCTGGCGGGCCTTCTGTTGTTGTTGTTGGAACCGCAGCAGCTCCTGGCTCTGCAGCCACGGCCGCCATTTTCTTCCGCTGTGCTGCCGAGCGGCGCTACGCCCCGCCCTCCTGCAACGCGACCAGCCGCGCAGGCGCATGGCCACTGGCTGGAGGCCCTGTCAATCAAAGACACAAGGCAGAGCGTCTTCTCTGATTGGCTGATTTTTTCTGAGCCTGTGTGACGTCAAACGGCCGACAGGGGGCGTTCATCTTTACATGAAACAAAAACATGAGAAATAAAGATCAGTGAGAGCTGATCAATATCTCATCTTCAGTATATGATCAGTGACATCAACTACTGTGAAACTGATTAAGCATCACAGGTCACTTTCAACAACAGAATCATTTGAAAATCAAACCAAACCACCAATACACGGCCAATCAGGAGCGATCAATAACCAAACCTCAGCAGCTGCTCCATGCTTCCAGCTCCTGTTTTCACTGTTCTGCTGCTGATGTTTATCTCAATAAAATCAACCGATATTCATACACATTAAACTGCCTTTAAAAAATTAAAATAACCCTGAAAACAGTCACTCATCATCCTGCTTTTATAACTTTTTGCAGTTATTTATGAACATTTAGTTTTTTCCCTTCAGGACTTACTCTAACTTCGTTTACAGTGTAAAGTCTTCCCTCCCTGGAAGTTTCCCCCTTTAGTGCTTTTCCACACGACAGGAATCAGGTCAGTTTAATTTGACTTTCTGACCAGAATGTACTAAAAAGATTCTTTCATGTCAACGTGAAAACAGATTTCCACAAAATAAGCTCAATTCATTAAAAAGATCAAATGTAAAGTAAGTTGTTGTAAATATTCTCCTCCTACGACGTTGAGCCTGGTCTAATAGCTGATGGCTGATGGACTTTTTAACAGGAGGGTGAGAGTGAATGGTGTCCTGTCAGACCCTCATCTCCTCCACTGGATCACCTCAGGCTTGTGTCCGCTCACCTTTACTCTGTTTTATATACGAATGAGTGCTGCAGCCAACATGCAGGGCGTCACATTGTTAAGTTTGCTGATGACTCAGTTATTGTGTCCTTGCTGAGTGGTGACACCCGGATCATGGACCAGTGGTGAAGGAATTCACAGACTGGTGCAAAGCTTCCTTCTTACACATTAATGCTGAGAAAACTAAAGAAATGTTTACTGACTTTCGAAGGAATCCCCCGAACATTCCTCCTTCCAGGATTGATAATCAAGCAGTGGAGCAGGTCAGCAACTACAAGCACCTTGGTGTTCACCTGGATGACAAACTGTGCTTTACTATTCATGGAGATGCTGTGCAAGAAGGCTCACCAGCGTATTTATGTTTTTAGGAAGCTGCGGAGTTTTAATGTTAACAGTTCTTTTATGTGAATGTTTTGTTCTTGTTTTATTGAGTCTCTTTTAACCTTTCCTTTTATTTGCTGGTTCGGCTCCCTCACTCTTAAAAACAAAAACAGATTACAAGGTGTTGTGAGGCTGTGTGGAGAACTAGCAGAACCTAAATAACCTGACAGCCCTACATCAAACCAGGTTATTAGCCAAGGCCCGTTTAATCACCACAGACCAGAGCCATCCCGTGGCCCACTGGTTCCAATGACTTCTGCCAAAGTGCAGGACCAATAGATATAAATGTTCTTTTGTCCCTGCTGCTCTTTCCCTGTTAAACAAGTGACCAGTCTTGTCTTTTCTCTGTTGTTTGTTGTTGTTGTTGCCTGTGTGATTGTGGCAGTGACTGTCTCATTGCTGGCTGCACAAACACTTCCCCACGGAGATATTAAAGATTTTTGAACCTTGAACCT